GGGAGGGACACAACATCAATAAGGGTACCTGACTTCAAACTAGGCAAAGTGGGGACCAAATGGGGCCCAAACTTTATCTGTATACCTAATCCTGAATTGTATACCTAATCCTGAATTGTACCCCAAATCTTTAAGATAAAATCTAAAAAAAGCAAGAAGGGATGTGGGCCAAGAGTGGTAGTTCATGCCTGGACTCCCAGCAACTTGAAAGGCCAAAACAGAAGGATAGCTTGAGCCCAGGAGTTTGGGACCTGCACCTATAGCCCAGCTGCTCAGAAGGCTGAAGCAGAAGGAGTGCCTGAGTCCGGGAGGTGGAGGCTGCCATGAGGCATGATTGTGATTCCACACTCCAGCCTGGGTGACAGAGTGAGACCTTGACTCAAAAAAAAAGAGAAAGATTGGGAAATGTGTTCTCCTTGGGGTGTCCAGCCCCACCAGCATGAGTGGCAGAAGTCATGTGGGTCTGCAGCCCAAACTGTGGAGGCCGTTTCCCCATCCAGAAAGTTCCATCCTGTCTTGATAGGTTCGTGGTCTTGGCAGACCCACTCTGCTGTGTTGCTGGGGGATTATTGGAAATTCCACCTAGACTCTGTCTCTGCAGGACCCCGAATGATCCTTTGTGCTATCTAGAGCGCTTATAGCTCCTTTACTTGTTGAAAGTATCCAGCTTAGCTTCTCCTGGTTGCATTGACAATCTAGCCAACACAGGGGATTAGATGACAAGTGGAATTTTAACCCAAGCCTGCTTCTTATGACCCCAGCAGTACCCTGGGCCAATCCTGGGGTTATTTCTCAGTGTCTGAAATGGACCAAATATAGTCAGTAAATGACTAGCTGATCCATGGGGCAAGAATTATTGTAGTTAAAAGAGCCAACGCCAGTACCTTGGGAGACAGAAGGAAAAGGATTGCCAGAGCCCAGGGATACGAGACCAGTATGAGCAACTTGGTGAGACCTTATCTCTACAATAAATCAAGAAAAATTAGCCACGCATGGTGGTGCACGCCTGTAGTTCCAGCTACTTGGAAGACTGAGGTGGAAGGATCACCTGAGTTCAGCAGATTGAGGCTGCAGTGGCTTTGAGCATGCCACTGCACTACAACTTGGGCAACAGAGTGAGACGCCAACTAAAACAAAAAGGGGAGGGCCAACAATACTACGTCTCTAAGGGAATGACAAAGGCTAGTGCCGCATAAAAAATTTGATACGTTTAGGGCTGGTGGCCGGGCATGGTGGCTCACACCTATAATCACAGCACTTTGGGAGGCCAAAGCAGGAGAATCACTTGAGGCCAAGAGTTTGAGACCAGCCTGGAAAACACAGAGAAACCCCATCTCTCCATATAAAAAACTATATATATAAATTATTCGTGTCCCAGCTGCTCAGGAGGCCAAGCCAGGAGGACCGTTTAAGTCCAGAAGTTCAGGCTGCAGTGAGGCATGATCATGCCACTGCATTCCAGCCTGGGCCACAGAGCAAGACCCTGTCTCTAAAAAATAAAAGAAAATAATAAAAATAGTAAAATAAATAAATTAAGGACTGGTGACTTTTTCAGAAAAACTCTCCAACCATTTTTTTTCTATGTTTTCTAGCCAGCATAGCCATCAACACAGAGGAAGGCTTCTGTGACCCCAAAATATGTGGGACTTCTCCCCACCAGTAAGTAAGTGATCAGTTCTACAGCAGACAGCAGCTGGGTGTCCTCCAATTCAATTCTGACGCTCTCTATCTAGAAAGAGTATCTAAGGTGAGGACTCAGCCCCCAAGACTGCCTCCTCCAACACCAGTCAGTCACCAGTCCAGGCCTCCAGAACTTCTGACCAACTGATTTCAAGTTGGGGGTTCTCACAGCCCCCTCCTTGGGTTTGATTAATTTGCTGGAGAAACAGAGCTCAGGAAAACACGTTTACCCATTTGTTTGTTTGTTTGTTTATGTATTTATTTATTTTTGAGCCAAGATCTCACTCTGTCACTCAGGCTAGAGTACAGTGGCATGCTCACGGCTCACCACAACCTCAAACTCCTGGGTTCAGGTGATCCTTCCATCTCAGCCTCCCGATTAGTTGAGACATAGGCACACACCACAATGCTCAGTTAATTTATTATTTGTTTGTTTATTTATTTATTTACTTATTTCTATTTTTTAGGTAGGATCTCACTATGTTTCCCAGGGTGGTGTCAAACCCCTGGGCTCAAGCTATCCTCCTACCTCGGCCTCCCAAAGTGCTGAGATTACAATGTGAGCTGCTGGGCTCAGCCTATCCATTTATTATAAAGGCTATTGCAAAGCTTACAGATGAAGAGGTGTGTAGGGCAAGGCACAGGGAAAGGGGCATGAGCTCCCATGCCCTCTCTCGGGGCACCACCCTCTGGGAACCTCCACGTGTCCAGTTATCTGGAAGCTCCCAAACACTATCTTTTGGGGTTTTTATGGGGGCTTCATTACATACACGACTGGCAACTGGGTAGAAGCATGATTGGACAAAAAGGATATGACCTAATGCTAATAAACTAAGCGAGAAGTCCAGCAGGGCCTGCCAAGTTTCCTCTTGGCCTCTCTGTGCAGCATTCCTTCCTCTAGATTAGGGGGCAAAATCCACTCTGGAATGAGGGTCTCATGACCCTCCATCAGATTAGAGTCCTGCCTTAGGCAGCTGAAAGGAGAGCGGGAGAAGATAGGGGGATTCCGTCTCTTGAGGCCTTAAGTGTCCCAACATTATAACAAAAGACCAAAACAAGGTCAAGGGGAGTTATGGGCCAGGTCCCGTGGATGTAAACCTATGCACATACATATATCATCACGATATCACAGTGACTCTGGTCAGCACCCATTTTCTTGCCTGTTTTTCCTGTGCAGAATCTCCTCCTGTTCACATCTTTTCCAGGATGTGCAGAGAATCAGACTGGGGACATAGGCGGACAGAGACATTACCCAAATCACATGCGGGGATTGCAGACACCACTGCTGTCACTGCTGGCCACAGACAATGCAGTTCAAATGGTTTATAGTAGTCACTGTGTGTCTCTCAACAAACTCTGTGTCCCTGTCCAGCCTTGTTCCGGCCTTCACGGATTCCACTCAGTCAAATCAAAGTCTTGTGTGGGTGCACCTGATTGGTGGAGCTGTCATGTGCCGACACCCTAGCTGCAAGGGAGGTCGGAAGAGCAAGTTTCTGGAATCTCCCTTGAGGAGCTTCATGCTCAAGATGGAAAATTCTCCAAACAGAGGTGGAGCAAAGATGTAAAATGGTCAATGAGGAAGACAGCAGGCCACAGGAAGAGAACCAGAGAAGAGTGACCAGTTGCACGTCAACAGTGGACCACTAGAGAGATGACCAGACACTCACTGCTCAGGCATCTTAGAGCACCTTAGGCCCAGGGACACCACCTGGTCTGCCTGCTCCCACCTCCATAAACTGTAGAATCTTGACTCTTCCTGAGCGTCTGTGTCCCTTAGTGCCCTAGTATACCCTGATAGAACCCCCCTCAGTGACTTGAGGCCGCCTGTGGCAACTTGTGTTTCCCAAAAGTAACCACGTCAATATATCCCATCACACATGCTAACAAACTCCGTTTACGCTGGAGTCAGCTGACCCTCCCTCACCTCCGTTCCGTCCCTTCTTCACCCCCAAAGAACAAATGGGTCCAAGTCCAAGTTTGATTTGCAGTAGGAAAGCTTTATTAGGAAGTCAAGATCGGGCAAGGAGTGAGGTCACCCCATGCCAGAGAAATGAAGAGAGGTCCCCTCAACCCTGAAGTCATCAAAGCCAGGCAGGGTAGGAGACAGTGGACGGCCAGAGGCACACATGCCAAGTCAGTCCAGTCCCAAATGGGCACCAGGGTTCCTTGCCAGCTCTTCCTGATGGCAGGATCCAACAAGCAGGCTTCATCCGGGGTCTGCCCCTCTGGGGGATGATCAGCTGGGGCTGGGCAGAGGAAGTCCCCAGAGGCTCTAGTATCGCGTAAGGAAGCCTGTGGAGAGATGGAGGGAGGATGAGAGGGAGGAGACAGGACTGTGAGCAGGAGATGGGGGCTGGGACTTGGCTTCCCAAATCCCATGTGGGCACACTGGGAGCAAAAACCCTGGTGCTCAGAGAACCAGAGAATCTTGAGATGAAGGATTCTGGGGTCACCCCACCTAGAAGCCTCTCATCCAATTCCTGAATCTCTCTGGCAGAGGCATCCCCATGTCTGAGGATGGAGAGCTCATGAGGCAGAAAGACGGCCCCAGTCTCACCCCCAGATGAACCCCTATGGCCCTGCAGTGCCGCTGGACACATGAAACTACACCAGACACCCCACAGGAGGACAGCTCCCAGGCACCTCAAGACATCTCTGGTCATGTTTCCCAGCCTTTGACTATGATTCCATATTAAAATGTTTATTCTATAAATATGTCCACAGAAAATTTTCCCTGCCCGAGGGACCACCCCACCTGTGTGTCTCGTTCTTCCAGGTAGATTATTGTGTTCATGATAGATGCTTTTCGGCAGTGGCATCATGGGATGCTTGTGAAGCCAACCTCTGACAGAAACCACCACTCCCTTTTCCACCTGACCCATTGCTGAGCCAGGTCTCTCATCCTTATGATGCCCAAATGAACTGGCTGTGAGGTCCCACAGAGCTGAGCCCCTCATTTCTGAATTGCATGCCCTTGAGTAAATCACCTACTTCTCTGAACCTCATGTTCCTTAGAATGGGGATAGTGGGAGGCATACAAGACAATGCACAAGCCACCTCCTAGGCTACTGAGACGTGGGCCGTGTATAGGCTTGGTCCTGGCCTCATTCAAGGCTGTGTCAAAAATAGCAAACAATTCAGAAAAAAGGGCAGGTCTGTAGACACCTCATGGAGAGTTCCCTAAAATCTAGTTCTAAATCCAGAACATGGATTCCCCAGAAAGGCCCAAAGAGACTCAAAAGGGAGTGAAGTCTTGACTCCCCACCGCGCCTGCTAGAGCTGTGCCTCCCTTCACCCCACAGCCCGGAATTGTTCCTTACCTTTCGATTCGTCATAGTCACCAGACTTTGAGGAAGAAGGATGGGATGACTTCCCACTTCCTCCTCCGTAGCCGCCACCACTTCCTCCTTTGGATGCACTTCCTTCTTCACCTTCACCATAGCTGCCTCCACTTCCTCCCTTGGACCCACTTCCTCCACTGTGGCCACCTCCACTTCCTCCACTGTGGCCACCTCCACTTCCTCCACTGTGGCCACCTCCACTTCCTCCACTGTGGCCACCTCCACTTCCTCCTCCAGAACCACTTCCTCCTCCATAGCCTCCACTTCCTCCTCCAGAACCACTTCCTCCTCCATAGCCTCCACTTCCTCCTCCATAGCCTCCACTTCCTCCTCCATAGCCTCCACTTCCTCCTCCAGAACCACTTCCTCCTCCATAGCCTCCACTTCCTCCTCCATAGCCTCCACTTCCTCCCTTGGATCCTCTTCCCTGACTTCCACCTCGAGAGCCACTTCCTCCTTGACCTCCTTGGCCACCTCCAAAGCCAATTTTTCCAGCTCCGGAAGATTCACTGAGAAAGAAAGAAAACACAGAACCGAGTGAGTGCCCCCCGCAAACCTACACAAGGGTGGACCTGGACAGAGTCCAGACCCAAACATGAGTCTTTCTCCTTTCCCTCCTGGGAGGCAGAGGACAGAGTCTGGGTGACACCACAACCGGGATGGTGGCACCTTCTCCTCCCTGGAGCAGGGAGGCAGCCCCTTCTCTCACTGTCAGCATTCTCCTTTCCCAAAGCCCAGATGCACCGAGGATTCCTCCAGGATGAAGACATCCTAACCCATGAGACTCTGTGCACAAGAACCTCCCCAGCAGCCCCCACCCAGAAGGACAGAAGCAGCAAGGGGTTTAAGGGTCCCACCGAATACCAGGACACCTACAAGTCTTCCTGGCCTTCCTCGAGGAGGCTACGGTAGGTCTTGATCTCTTTCTCCAGCCGCGTCTTGATGTGGAGCAGATGGTTGTATTCCTGACTCTGGCACTCCATCTCCTGCCGGATCTCGGCGAGCTGGGCCTCCAGGTTACTGATCTGTTCCTGGAGCATTTGCAGCTGGCCACAGTAGCGGTTCTTTGTATCTTCCAACGTGCTCTCCAGGGCTGATTTCTAGGGGCCGGGAGGGGGTTTTAAGCAGGATGCAGAACCATAGCTTCTCCCTCACCCTCTCCTGGAATCATGCAAAGTCTTCCCATGTCCCACCCTGGCAGCGGGTCCACAGTGGCACCACCAACCTTGCTGAGCTGAGACTGCAGCTCAATCTCCAACTCCTGGACATTGTGCCGGAGCTGGGTCACCTCCTTGGCACTGGACTGCATCTCGTGGCCACTGCTGGACACCTCCTGCTCGATGTGGCTGATCTGCAAACCAAAGGCTCTGTAAGCACCAGCCTGGGCCAGGAGCTTCCACAGGCAAGGATCTGCCCCACCCACCACAATCTTCACCTCCAAGGCCAAGGCTGAGCCAATGCCAAGGACAAGTCACTCTGAGTTCTGGGTGCCCTCCAGTCATGCAGGGGTGACCCACTCTCTCACCAGGACATTGTCTTCCTCTGTCCACACTTTGTCCCAAACCACCTTTCTAACCTTATTAACCTTATTCCAAACTCCCCCCAACTTTACACACACACACACACACACACACACACACACACACACACACACACACAATCTCTCTCTTTCTTTCTCTCTCTCTCTCTCTCTCTCTCACTACGGACTATGCCTTGTGTGCCAGCCTCTGGGCTAGGCACTAGACCCAGAGAGGAAGGAAGCCATAAGAGAGCTCGGTGTAACATGGAAGGCACACCATATCCCTCTGCTAGAACCTAGCACTATACAGCATTGTAGAAAGTCATCCAAGCTCTGCTTTTGCTCATATACACCCAATAAACTGGGAGCTTCTCAAGGGCAACCATCTCAGGGCTCTTTCCTGAGACATCAGTACTTCACATACAGCCTGGCTCTGAGAACCTCCTCTCTAGTGACACTGTGTACAGTGAGTGAAGATGGAGGAACGACAGCTGTGCTGACAGCCAGAGAGGCGGGCGGATGATGGGATGGGAGGTGAGAGAGCAGGGTGGAGGAAGGGAGAGAGACACAGATGTAGGGAGAGGAGGCTGGCTGGACAGCCCATGCCACTCACCTGGGATTCATACTGCTTCTCGATGTCCTCTCGGTTCCTAGCGATGAGGTGCTCGTACTCCTGGCGCATGTCGTTGAGGATCTTGGTGAGATCCTTGCTGGGAGCCACATTGACCTCCACATGGACATCGCCACTGTTCTGCCCAGTCAACTGGCTCATCTCCTGCCAGGGAGAAGGGGAGGTAAGGTCAACGGTGGGCTCCTCTTTGCCGCCTTTCAGCTCTCTCGCTCTGGTCCTCCCAGACACAAAAGGGGCACAGTGGTAAGGTCAAAGCCACCCACATCTCCCTAGGTAGCACTAAGGAGGAGCCAAATGTGTCTGCTCCAAGAATAAGGGGAAAGGTGCCTCCCAGGCAGGGTCCCACAACTCCCCTGCTGTCTGCACTTCCGCCCCCCCCCCGCCCCGCCAAAAGCCATATGCAGCCAGCACCCCACCTCCTGGTGATTCTTCTTAAGGGCCATCAGCTCCTCCTGCAGAGTCTCAAACTGCATCTCCATGTCAGACTTCTCCATGGTCAGGTTGTCCAGCACCTGCCGCAGGCCATTGATGTCGGCCTCCACCCCTTGCCGAAGGCCTTGCTCCATCTCAAACCTGCAGACCAGCCAGGGGTGGAGAACGATTGAGAAGAGAATCAGGCCCCACAGGACCTCCAGAGCCCTGGGGGTGGCAGGGGCCGGGGTAAGGACGGATGACAGGAGTGGGAGAAGGGAGCAGGACTCACTTCATCCTGAAGTCATCCAGCGTCATGCGAGTGTTGTCGATGTCCAGAAGAGTCTTGTTGTTGTTCACTGTCAGGTCCACATTCTGAAAAACAGGGCACATGTGACCCGCTGCTGGGAAGGAAGAGGCCAGATGAAGTCATAGGAGGTGAGGGTTCTGCCCAGGGAGAAGTTCAAGAGGCAGGAGCAGCATCCATGGCGCAGACCCCTCCCAGCCTTCAGCAAGAATGTTCAGGGTGGTCCCATCCATTCATTCAACAAACATGGGAAGATCTGCCGCAAGGATACTGTGGGGTTTAGAGAGGCTGACATACTGCTCCTCAAAGAGTCCGCCATCGACTGCAAAGTCCAAGTGCCCTAATAGAGGTCAAGGAAAGGAGAGGTGGCTCATGGCTGTGGGAGAACAAGAATGACTTCAGGAAGGAGATGGGGTAGAAGAAACAGTACATGCAAAGGCATGCAGGTATGAAAGAAGAGGAACGGGTGAGATCTGTGAAGAGTCAGACCGGGAGCTCCATCAGGGCAGGAACTACGTCTGCCCGTCATTATGTCTGAGGTTGTCACGCACTGAACTGAGTAGATGGATGGGTGGATGGATGGATGGACATGTGGATGGGTGGATAAGTGGATGGGTAAATGGGCAGATGGGTGAGTGAATAGATGAATGGATGGGTGAGTTCGGTGGATAGATAGCTTCCATTCCTAGATTTCCAGGTGTCCTGCATCACTTGAACAACCAGCTTGCATAACTGGATCCAAAACACCTTCAAAGATTGAGACAAGTCTTTATAAGAGCCCAGGAGAAGTTGGAAGGAAGAGAGAGGATTGACTTGGACGAAACCACAAGGAGGTTCTACCTCCAAAGTCCCAGTCTAGCCCAGGCTAACCCAGGCCTCCCCCCATTCCCCCCTGCCCATACTCTGAAAGTTGAGGAAATAGAGATGAAAGCCCAACCGACGCACAGAACAAAGACCCAGTCCCAGAGCCTTGGAATCCAAACACAGGGCGATTTCTGATGAGAGTTTTAAAAAGATGGATTCCCTGGCTATTGTCTGGCTTGGCATCTGGCATTTTATCTTTTTTGGGTGGGGGAAGGGAAGAGGGAATGGGGGGGAGGGTGAGAGAGAGAGAGAGAGAGATTGGAGTTTTCTGCACCTACCTGGTTCTTGATATCATCCATCGTGTCATGGTAATGGGAGTAGCTCCTCTGGGAGACGTCAGATCCCTGCTTTTTATACCAGTCCTGGATCTTACCCTCCAGGGTCTTGTTTTCTTCTTCTAATTTCTGCACCTTATCCAAGTAGGCAGCCAGCCGGGAGTTGAGGTTTTGCATGGCAGACTTCTCATCAGTGGTCAGAATGCCACCATCACTGCCACCAGCACCACCACCGTATCCCACTCCAAAGCCCCCAGACCCACCGCCATAGCCCCCTCCAAAGCCCCCAGACCCACCGCCATAGCCCCCTCCAAAGCCCCCAGACCCACCGCCATAGCCCCCTCCAAAGCCCCCAGACCCACCACCATAGCCCCCTCCAGAAACAGAACCATAACACATGGAGCCACCCCCGAAGCCACCGCTTACGCTACCAGAACTAAACCCGCCCCCAGCTCCCCCGCCATAGCTGGAGCCGAAACCCCCACAGACGCGGGAACTGCCCCCACCATAGCCGCTCGAAGAGCTGAACCGGCCCCCGCCTCCGCCAGCCCCCGAGGAGCTGAGGTGGCTGAAGGAGGACTTCATGCTGCCCCCGCTGCCCCCGCCGCCCCCGCAGCTGCTGCGGGTCCGGTAGGAAGAGGAGAACTGTCTATAGCTCATGGCGGCGCTGGCGGCTCAGGGATGTCAAGTGGTCGTAGCAGTGCTGCGGTTCCTTGGTGCTGGGTACAGAGCCGTCCCCGGGGCCGCCTACTTATACCCCTGGCGGAAGATGGCACACCTGGGTGTGCCCTCGGTTGGTGCCAGCCTCCGCCCGCGGAGGTCTTGAAGGAGGTCTGGGATACAGGAGGCAGCCGGGCTGCCCCAGGCTCAGCGTCCTTTGGTGACTGCCCCGGGGCGGCCCAGCCTCTCTCCATTGTGTCAGGTAATTTGATGACATTAGGCTGTCAGGGGCACCATAAATCAGCTCTGCTGCCACAGGGTGACCTAGATTCTGGAGTCTGGTCTCCAGCTGGCCCTGAGTCGGAGCCCCTTTGGGATAGAAACTCCCAGGAACAGAGTCACCTTTTCCATCCATGATGATTGTGTCTATGCCCCTCCCTGCCACCACCCTGTGCCACTGGGCCGAGTTGGAACTGGAGTACCAAAGAGTTATGAGAGAGGATAGGGAATGCACAGCCCTGCCCTCCCAGGGCCCCTGTGGGATGGGAGGCCAGTCTTTGCTCTCGGGATCCTCAGGTCTTCCTCAGGAGACTGAGGCTCTACCCTCAGGGGACTCCAGTTTGATGAGGTGACAAGTGGCATGTCCAAAAGGAGACACACACAGAGAACGAGCCCATCAGTACTCAAGGATGGCGTGCAGGGTTCACACCAACGGCTAGGAGAAGACAGGGGACCAAATAAGGTGGTGCTAGCACTCGAGGACTTTAGAGCAGGACTGCAAGTGGCCTGGCTGTCCCCTTCTGCAGGCCAAGTGGTGGGTGTGGAACCGACTTTGGGTGAATGCTGACCCTGTACTGAGCCCTAGGAGGATGGATTGTCCTTGCTCCTGGCCGAGACTCTGGATGCCTGTTCCGTCTCCAAGGCCAGGACAGAGCAGCAAGAATGGCCATGGGCCTGGGGCACCACCTGAGCTCGGCTAGTTCCACGCGCACGAGCTGTGTGACTTTGATAAGTTGCTTTACTCTGCTGTGCCTCAGTTACCTCCTCTGTAAAATGACGGCATCAATAGCCTGCTCAGCTCCTAGTGAGACTCACGAGAGACACTCAAGAAGTGTTCAACCCCCTCCAATGACTCAGCCACTAACTCCCTCTCAACTCTGTACCCCCCCAGACCTCAGCCATCAGCTTCCCGTGACCTGCCACCTCCCCCGTGTCCCTCTGAATCCCCCTTCACAGCAGCCAGAATGATCTTTTTAACCCGTGACTGACCACATCACTCCACTCCCAAGATAAGGCCCACATTCCTAGCATTCGGGCCTACCCTGTCTTTCCATCCCTGCTCCATTCCTGCTCCCTCCCTCCTCCCTCCAGGCCCCCCAAAACAAATCATACACACTCCCCCAATGCCCCTCATACCTCGGAGAGCACTCAGCCCTTACAGTTCCCTCCCATTGAAATGTCCCTCTCCATCTTTTCTACATAGAAAACTCCTACTCATCTGTGGCAACCCCTCCATGTGCCTCCTCCTCCGGGAAGCCCTTCTGTGCCCTCCCCCTCTGCACTTTGCTGTTACAGTATCTTGCACTCACCTTTGCAGCTCTCCCAGCAGTGGCAGGAGCTCCTCCGAAACTATGCCTGTTCATCTTGTTCTTGTTCCAGAGCCCAGCACTATGTCCGCTCCAAGGAGGACCCAACCGCCTATGAGATGAGAGAAAGACACCAGTCGTTCCAGAGAGACGCTAAAAGCCAAAAGAGAGCTGAAGGTGAGAAGAAAGAGGCTAGGATGGTCCATGAGGACCTGGAGGAGGTAACGACCTCTGAGCTGAGGTCAAAGGATGCATAAGCAGCATAAGGGACCAGCATTTCTTTTAGGTGATGCTCAGAGACTATGTTAAATAGGAGGAGTTCCTTGTCCTGGCTTAATCTGCTGAAAGTCTCAGGTGGGCACTAGGGCCTCTGTAAAACCCTCCACATATGTCACTCACCCTGTTCAACAGAACAAGAGCCAGCCTGAGACTCAGAACCTTCAGAAAGTAACAATATCTGGTTAGAAGAATTTCTTTACAATATTTCCTTCTAGTTCTGGCAAGTGATTCTGACTTTCCTTTCTTGGCATAATATAGAATTTCCCTTTTAAATATATTTGTTGCAGCTGGACACGGTGGCTCACGCCTATAATCCCAGCCCTTTGAGGCAGAGGCAAGAGGTTTGTCTGAGCTCAGGGGTTCGAGACCAGCCTGAACAACATGGCGAGAAATTGTCTCTACAATAAATGTAAAAAATTAGCAGAGTGTGGTGGCGCATGCCTGTGGTTCCAGCTACTTGGAAGACTGAGGTGAAATGAAAGGTAAGCTAATTTACCAAAATGTTTTTTTGAAACGTTTAAATATGCAATACAAAATTACGTTAAATTAAACAGGGTTGGGCACATTGGCCCACACCTGTAATCCCTGAACTTTGGGAGGCCAAGGCAGGAGGATCACTTGAGGCCAGGTGTTCAAGACCAGCCTGGGCAACATAGCAAGACCTCATCCCTACAAAAAAAAATCAAAAAATTAGCGAGATGTGGTGGCACATGCCTGTAGTCCCAGCTACTCAGGAGGCTGAGGTAGAAGGATCGCCTGAGCCCGGGAGGCCAAGACTATTGTGAGCCATGATCATGCCACTGCACTCACTGCAGTGCAGCCGTACACCCACTGCACTCCAGCCTGGGTGACAGAGGGGGGACTCCAACTCAAAAAATAAATAAATAAAATAGAATAAAAAGTAGACAGGTAGTCCAGGTAATACTGAAGGCATTTTGCGAATGTCTTCTGCACTGGAGACTCTTAGACCAAGGCTAAGGTGTTGGAAAGGCTCTAAACCATCCAGGGTCCCCACAAACTCTGCTGAGAAGCCCAGGATCTGCAGGTGACGTGATCTGAGGCCTGGAAAGCCAACCCGTCTCCATCCCCATGCTGATGCACCACACTGGTTGGGGTGTGAGCCCTGGGTTCTGGGTGTCTGAGCTGGAAGGAGGAGAAGTTGGGCAGAAATGGGGGAGGCGCAGGAGGTAGATCAGCGGACACTTCTGAAATCTGCTCTTGTTGCCATGCTGTGGAATCCTGAGAACAGCTGAGATGCGCCTGACAGGCCAGAGGTCCCAGGCACCCTGACCAGCAGAATCTCTTGACAGATGACCATTTCCAGTCCTGATGCCAAGCCCACCCACCCCCACCCTCACCAGACCCCTCAGCTTCTCCCCTTGCAGCCTAGCTTCCCAAAGCCTCACTCAGCCAGTAAGCGCAGGCTCTGGCCATCAGAATTCCTCCTGGCTGCCCCTGGGGACCACCGTGGGTGAAAGGAGGGGCCCCTTCCCCTGTGGCCTAGCCTCTGTTTCCCCACAAGAAGCCCTCATGCTGTGTTGTCAAGGGCCACAAAGCCAGAGGGCTCCCCAGATGAATGCCCAGCTACTGTCCACATTGATCCTCCTCCCCCTACACCTGGGTTTGTTCGATATCAAGAGGATCCAGCTCCTGTGGACCAGACGGGCAGTGTCAAAGCAGGACACCACCTTTTCCCCTCTCCCCCATTATCTGCCTGGGGACAGCCTGGGCAAGGTGGGGCCAGGGAGGAAGGCAGTCAGCAGCCTTGGCCTGCATGAGTGACTTCTCCTCTGCCTGTGGCATGGCTCACTCTTCTAGCTTCTCAGGGTCAACCCTCAGAGCCCACCTCCCACACCTCCGTGGGACCCTTCCCAAGAATGAACCAGGAACAAGCCCACGTAGCTGAGGGGATCCCAGCACCTGAGACCCCATGAATGTCAGCGCTGCCTCTCTGCAGCCCAGACCCACAGGGCCAGCACCCCAAACACAGGCCCTGCCCTTGGAGATGGATGGAGCAGGAGAGAAGAGGGCTGTGAGGACCCAGACAGAGGGACAGAGCGGGACCAACAGAGGTTCCACCTGCACGGTGTCCCCGGGGGAAGGGGTCCTCCCCTGGGGGCATGGGGACTCGGGGACAGGACAAGGACAGCCTTGCTCTGGCCACAGGAGCCCCACTGCCTGCCTGTGTGCTGCTGCCCACACCCCTCAGGACTCCCATGGCTGTCTGTCATTGAGAGCCGGGCAGGGCCCAGGGAGGGGCCTGAGTCAGCATCAATGGCTGCTGGGAGAGGGAGGGCAAGCGTGAGTCACAGGCCACCCCTCCAAGACCCATCTAGGCAGCAAGCCTCCCACTGGCGCGGGCCCATGGGTACCTGCGCCCATCTGTCAACGCTGGCTTTCTCAGACAATAGGCACTTACCACCACCCCGCCCAGCCAGACCCCGTCAGACCAAGGGGAGGGGAGGCAGTGGCCCTCACGGGAGCCTCCACCTGGGCCCAGGCACCCAGGCTTGTGTCTGCTGGGACACACTTCACAGAGGGCTGAGAGAGCCAGCTTTGCAACCAGACAGGTTTGAGTCAAAAGCCAGATTCTTCCACTTATTTAAGGAAAGTTAAAAAGTCACTTCTCCTCTCTGAACGAGTTTCCTCGCTGTAAATTAGATTCACCTTTTTTGTTTGTTTGTTTTTTATTTTTAGAGGCGGGGTCTTGTCTGTCATCCAGGCTGGAGTACAATGGCACAATTATAGCTCACTGCAGCCTCTGCTTCCTGGGCTCAAGCAATCCTCCCGCTTCAGCCGCCTCAATAGCTGGGACTACAAGCATGAGCCACCATGCCCGGCTAATTGAGTTTTATTTTTATTTTATAGAGACGGGGTCTCACTATGTTGCCCAAGCTGGTCTCAAACTCCTAGCCTCAAGTCATCCTCCCATCTTAGCCTCCCAAAGTACAGTGATTACAGCCATGAGCCACCACCCCCAGCTTGGATTCATCCTTTATTGAGCACCTACTGTGTGCCAAGCATTGTACTGAGAGTTGAGAATAAAAGTAATGAGCAGGACCTTACCTTCTTGGACAGTTATAGGATAAAACAGACCCTTACAAATAAATGTGTAATTCACAACTGAGGTGAGCA